TTCCTGATGAACAAAAACTGACCAACAGAAATTTACATACTTAATGAAAAATTCTAACACAAATGTAATCAAACTTGTTGGAGAATTTATACACAGCTCGTTCTTAATGAGAAACGAGAAAGATACTTAACAAAAACACTAAAATCTATCATTTATTATTTGCTATAGTTATTTTGTTATTTTGTTTTTTAATATCTTACTTTTGTTGCTATAAACTGATGGAAACACTGTATTTCTAAGGATGCAATAAATTATCTTTATTATTATAATTTGTTTATTTCAATTTCTTCTGAAGTCAAATAGAATAAACTGGTGAAACACTGTAGTAACCGTGAGTGAAAAGGGGTGTAGTTTACATTGTGTATGGAGTGGTAAGGTCTGGTGTCACATAATTTGTTCATTTCCAACTCTTATGAAGTCACATAGAATTTCACTTCGCTGAAACGTTTTCAAGCATTACGTGTGAATCCAATTTTCACTGTGCTGTGTCTCAATAGAGTATGAGGGAAATGGCATTTTCACTGGAATTTATTTCAGTGGAAAAATGTTTTCAGTGAAAATGAAGTATACCACATTATCACATGCAATAATGTTTTCGGTATTTTCACGGTCAATATGCAAATAAACATGGCATTGGTGATCCGCTCCACGAGGATTGCCCTTAAAATCATTTGTGTGTGAGATTTCCAGTGTTTTGACGTATTAGTTCTTCTGTGATTTTTTGTTTGTTTGGCCGATTTAGCTCAAACATGGTAGGTAGTTTATTAGGAAAAAGCTGTAAAAAAATGTTAGCCCTTCGTTCCCATAGCAACAGTCAAAAAACTGATTTTTGGATAGCTTCGAGCTAAATGTATCTCCTACAAATTTAGGATACAACACCTCAGACATAGCTCACTGTACTCGGCTTGAGTGTGGGCACAAAGTTACTATTTGAATTTTTGATATCTTTTTTCATCAATGAGAAAGTTGACCCCAAATTTAGAGTAACTGTTCACCAGGAATGGCTTTTTAGCTCTTCTGTGATTTTTTTTTGGCTTGGCTGATTTTGTTCATACTTGACAGGCAGGTCGTACCATCACTAATTGGAAAAACAATCCTGACCGACCGCTACCATGGCGACAGCCAAAATCTGTTTTTTGAATACTTTCGCCCCAAATGTATTACCTCCTACCAGTCTTGTAATAGCAGTGTTTAAATGATCATGCCTTTTATTCTAGCTCGTTGCACACTGGTAAGAGATCACCGGCGCCAACATTGTTACACTGTATCAACGTAATCCCAACGCAACTTTGAATGAACTGTAAATGCTGCCTCCAATCTAGAAAATACTATCGCAAAACGGCTGGAAATAATACATTTAACGGCAGAATATATCCAAGCAATAAAATAAAGTGACTTCTATAAAGACTGAATGTTACTTTGCGAACTTCGTATAAGGTGCCCGGGTTTAGTTATAAACCGACTTTAGCTTCACGTTCGTGTCCTACCATGGTAACAGTCGAAAACATATTGCTTGTTTTTTAGCGGGGCGGATCGCCAACCAGCCTACCGGCCTGTTTTCATTGGCAACCGAAGTATTTTTATTTTGTAAACAAATTTTCGTCTGCTATTTTTATCCAGTTCAAACAGTTCAGCAACAGTTTTGGCATATTAGGTGTACATCACATGGAATACTACGATTGGGTGAACTTGATGTATGTTGACTGAGCTGTATCATAGACCATCAACATCAAGGAGGTTTATGCTGCGACGTTGCGGCGTTACCCAGTTTCAAATAAAGATTAACAACGCCAAATGAGCGACATTTTAACCGGAAATCAAGATTTATTCAATCCATGGCTAACCAGCAACATCATTCCGTCAGTGGAATACCGCAGTTGTGACGGCATGTTTGCCAATGCACAATTCTGTGGAGGAACCTTTAACTTAATTAAACTACGCATGACTTATTCGGAACGTTCCATCATCGAGATCAGACGGCTTCCTGTCGTGCCATTCCTTCACCACTGTATTCAAACGAATCACGTGGTGCGCTGTTACAATCTCCTTCAAACCCGGGATTCAATCATAGGGCCGTTTTAATGACAAAAAAAACATCGCAGATCATGCAAATTTAACATTTTTAAACCAGTATACTAAAACAGAAATGCTCAGCGATGCAAAAAATGATAGATATTACTTTTCAGTATACACATTTCTGTTTATACAATCCTTCACATATTCTACTTCCAATTATTCCTGCGTAAAATGGAACAGCCTCTTTCTATGTTGACATTCTGAGTAAAATCATGTGACAGGCTGTTAAAATTGGCTGTTGCATACTCTTTTGCCGGTCTGGAAAATGTGTTTAATTAGCTCTCATTCAAGCAACAATGCAGATTTCCCAGTGGGAGTGAAACTATTCGACTCTGCCATTAAAAAATAGGGGTGTTTTCAGCAAAAAACGAATAACCCTGGAATGCACACAACACACTGAATTTCGGAACAAATCGTGCATTATTTACGACAGCAGAATACCACAGAAATATCAGACGAAATACGAAAACACTATATATTGTATTTCGGCCTGAACCCTCTATATTGCAATTCCAGGAATTAACCCCATATGTGCATTCATTTTCCACATTGGTATCACCCACCCCTGAAAACGAACTCTTAATACCACGCTGAAGCGTTTGGTAATTACATTGAAATGTTAAAAATATTGTAATCAATTCGGACGATATTGTCACATAGGACACCCATCACCGGCGTTATCAGGATTCCCACAGTTGACGCTTGTATTGAAACAATATCAAGCGTATCTTCACATTCCTATCAACAAGCGTGGTTTCTAAAATAATATCCGTGTCGCTTTTAGCAAGTACATGTATGTGGTATATGGGCAACTGACAGTGTGTGGCACCACGTGTAATAATATAATTCGTAAAACATTATCACCTGCGACAAATCAGCCCGTAAACAATTTACCCACGATGTGGAGGTGCTAAAATCACTTTGGTGTTTTTATTCAATGTATTGTTATTCAATGTATTTTTCTGGAAACTTATGCTGGTGTATTGAACCACTGTCATGTCATAAAAGGTGTTTTGAGTCATGTGATGTATCAATTTGGATTACGTGATTACCTGGTGATTTACCTTATAAAAAGTTACTTTAGATAGGCATACAGGCAGACTCGGAGATGCACCGGACATGGTCCACTTGTTTGCTCTCTGGGCTTGGCCGTTTGGCTAACGCCCAGGGATAACCGTTGTACTCTATGCTTCGTCTATTGGTTCGTCTTCTCGATGCCACCATCCGAATAAAGATCACCGGTTCATACTACTCTGTTTCACAGTCGGAATATTCGTATTTAATAAATTATAAAAGTACTGTGTATGTAGATTATTCGAACTGACGAAGCTTGACGTCTGTATTATTAACACAAAAATAATAATTTTATTAAAACTCGTATTATATTAGGGAATAAATAATATATTGATGTATATCACTCAAATTTTGACAAAACATGATCATAATTGACGATATATTGACGTTCAGCTTTTTTATTCATGTGGCATGTCATTTTATTGAAACTCATATTAGGGATGTATATGGCATGCTGATTGGTCAAAGGACGTTACGGTGTTCGTCGTCGCGCGTATAGTGCTCAAACGTTGAGTAATATACAAACCTCATGAATATTGATTATGATGACATCAAATCAACAACCAAGCTGATACTGTAAACAGTTGAACCACAGCTTTGGTTGACTCACCTAACTGAGATTTATCATTCCGCCATTTAGTACAGAGCTAAAAGAGCCCCATACTTGAATAAAATCCAACTCACAACTCGACTGCTATATTTAAATTTCAGGAAAATTAATTGAGTTGCAAATAGAGTGACACTAGCAGAAAAGAGTGTGTATACAAATGTTTTATTATGGTATATAGCACCCACAAAATACTCCTAGTACCCAATGGTTGAAGACATCATCACAGAATGTTCAAATATATTGTTTTGACGCCCTGCTCAACCAGTTAACTCCCGTGAGTACATGGGCCGTCGGAAGTATATACTTGTGGTACTATCTGTTACAATATTTTAAATTTAAATGCTTTATAAAATGCTTATTGACAAAGTATCTTTTTGCAGATAAAATCAATATTTTGGAGTTAAACGTGCGTAAGCATAGCAATGGTAAAGATCATCACACTTCGGACTATGAAGTCAAGAATCTTGTTGTCAGACGAGGACAAGAATTCCGTATCAGTGTTGTGTTTGACAAGGATTTCAACAAGACGATTCATACATTATCTCTGGAATTTCAACTTGGTGGGTAATATTCTTTGTATATATTTTCGTAGTTATTTGTCATAAATCAAACCAACATTCTATAATTATTACACTATACAGTAATATAAGGGGGTTCCAAAACTGGAAGTAGGCTGGAGGATAAGAAAAAAAAAACTTATTTAAAAAAATAGAAAAAAAATCATGCTCCATGATTGCATAATGTAAAATAATTGAAGGGAAATGTGAATAAAAACGTATTGTCCGGCTAATTGCGAACAAAAAAAATCCTTATGCCCGGGCCCCTTCTGTCGAACTCTATAGTCCCTTAATAAATCAAGGCCAGGTAATGTAAAATAAACGCAATTATTTAAACGTTTTAATCATCACGTCCGTAAATTCATATGGTATACTTTAAAATTTCGACTATCGGACTTTCGTAGAACACATAATTTGAAATATTAGTCAGGTTATACTTCAATATATAATGTATATCCCACATATGCAACATATATTACATAGAATATCCTCAATGGGTCTACATTGTGTGCGAGCATTTTTGAGGGTAAAATCGACAGAATGAACCTTCGCATAGAGAAAAAAATAATAATAGAAATCTTATTTTAACTTGACTAAGATTAACACTTTTGCAGTATTGCCTTGGTTTAGTCTGGTCGTATCGCCCGTTACTCCGTCGCTCATAGTATCGATCATGATTTTTTAGTTGAGGAGCAATCTTCGGCAGATGTTTCCAGGAACCTAAAGGCAGCCACAGACATTAAACACGATGTATGAATATATGTTTGTGTATGTAGTGCAGTACCCTGACCCGACACACTATTTGTTCACATCTGTTATCAGTGATGTGAACTGTTTTCGCCAGAATTATCGATTTTTTTGAACAAGGCTTTTTGGTAATTTTTGAACGCTGTAGACCTCTAGACTCTTTGACTAAAAACACCCATTTGGCAGACCTAATTTAGCGTTACATTTATGCATATACAGCTTTCCAAAGCAAAATATATGGTACAAGCTAGTTTGTCGATCTTTCAGACATTCGCCAATCATGATAGATCAATAATGACGGACAGGTGTTTAAAAGGTTACATCATGACGGCGACTATTTCTATGGGAACATTGTTAACAGAACAGATGACTGAAATAACAATTAATCATAATGCTGAGAATTTATATTTACATAACATAACGATTCTGAAAAAGGAGAATTGGTGAATGTTAAACAAAAATTCCGGGCAAAATTGCAGAATTTATGTTATCGCTTACTAGATGACTGTACGCACGGCGTATGGTAAAATAGGGGATATGACAATACGTCATGGTATGTGTTATGGTTGCTTAATATTTAGACTGCGCATACACAATTATATTTTCAGGCACCAACCCTGTCATCTCCGATGGAAGTCTTGTAGAAGTTACATCATCACCAGTTCCCGGTGAATGGGGAATGGAAATCGCTAAAATTGACGGATCTATTGTTGACCTTGTTGTGTATTCTGCGTTCAACTGTCTTATTGGAAAGTATAAAGTTGCCGTCATAGCAACAACCGAGAACATGAAAGAAAGTGTTTACAAGGAAGAAATATACATGCTATTTAATCCTTGGTGTAAAGGTATGTATTTACACTGGTACGCATGCGCGAGTTTCTGGTTCGCCGTTTGATTACCTCAGCAACTGTTGAATTCGTTCGAAGTGGGCCCGGCCCGGACACAACACATGCATCAAGTAACTATATATAGCAGCCCCAATCCCAGCTGCGTTGGTTAATTCGTTGAAGATTTTTGATGAAGTTTACTACCTGAACAATAACATTGCAAAATTATTTCAACGCCATAGCAGTTATAAACACATCTGTCAACATTCTAGTTTTTAGATTACTGTTCGTTTTAATCGAATAAAATACTTTCATACATATTCATGAGATGATAATGACGTTACTTATTTTTCTCATGATTTCACGATACTTCAAACCAAACATGTACCTAGTGTGGATGGGATATACAAATACACTGTTTAGATTAGAACACAGCTAGCTACGAACATGGAGGTAAAGGACAGAACTGTCTCGTGTGGTATTGTACTTGATCATCGTACTAAGGCAAAGCTACACAGAATGGTTAGTTTCGATTTGATTTGTTCTGTAGATGATGCAGTTTACATGGAGGACGAATACTTGCGAAACGAGTATGTTTTGGAAGATTTCAACGAGTATTACTGGGGTAATGCCAATCAGATTGGAAGAAGTTTCTGGAACCAGGCACAGGTAGGAATTTTGCCAAGTGTGTCACTAGTATGCATGTGAACACTAAACACTGTAGTATATTTGCCTAGAACCGTATC